AAATGAATATACAGGATAACATAATCCCCTCAAACTTGTGCTTTTGTTGCTGACGTATCTATATTATACCTAGCGCGTATGTAAACCCTAGCTGAAGCACGAGCTATTGGATTGCATCAGCTACTTTATACATCCTTTTTCAACACAATTTAGGCCGTCTGTGCATACGTGTGTGCCATTCGATGTCGTAGAGTAGCTTAAAACTACGAACGATATAAAACGGCAAACTCTTTCTTTGCATCGACGCTTTCCCACCCCCTGCATACACCTCTTCTTTTTGTTGTTGAGGATCAGTGGCATCGAGTGTAGGGTGTACGCGTGTTCACAACATCCTATAGTAGGAGTAGAACAAATCTGTCGAATTGATTAATCGGGTTCGACCTTGATGTTCACTAGCCAGGATGGCTCGCTTGAAGCAATACGACAGCTTAGTAAGTGGGAAGAGAGAAATGAACACAACAGTCACGCAAGTGATAATCATCGGAGAAGCGTGCTCAGCATTCCTAATTTTTCGTTATGGCTCAGACACAGTGTCGGCAGCGAGAGGAATGGAGGAAAGGACACCAGCCCTATGTGCATTGGTGCCCTTGTGCTTGCGCCATACAAGCTGCAAAGCAATCCTTACCCTTCGTCGTCGCTGCCATATATATTGATGCCCCACCGAGTGCACCGCACGGCGTACGCCTTGGCTGAAATAACTGGGATTCAGGCCTCTGCCAGCACAGCGAGCGTCTCCTTCCTGTTGTCGGACCCAGGGACTGATGACGAGGCGATTTCGCTGTTTGACCTTGTCCCGTGCCCCCCACAATATTTACGTCAATTGTCTCTTTTCGGAAGCGGCAGTAAGTGTGATAGTGGACAGGAGCCTGACGACGGGACCATACCAAATAGCGACCTCATCAATGACGAAACCGGGGACGATGTAGTGGCAGATGGCTGTGAATCACCACAATCACCAATAGAGTACCTTTTACAACGTTCGGTACATGCTGGCCTTGTTCATCCTGATCAAGCCCATGCTGCGTGGTTGCGGCAATTTCAGCATCCTGCCGGCCTCTGCGACACCACTGCCGAATTCAAAGCCGGAGAAGCTCAAACAGAAGGACCAGCCGCTAAGCGAAATCGAACGGTATTAAAACATGAAAAGAACGTGTTTGGACAGCACTTCCCGCTGCAACTCAAAAAGGATGAAAACGTCCTCGGTTCTTCGCTAATGTCGCCGCCACTTTTGGGCCCAGGCCCCGACCATCTTGTCACCACTAGAAGTGGTGCTGTGGATGGCATCCTTGTAGCAAATTACATTCCTCCGATGAACAAGAACGTATATTTTGCTAATACTTTTCGTGAGGCAAATGTCATAATTGGGAACCAGCTTCGGCAGACCGCTTCTCGGTTGTGTAATAAAAAGGATAATGTGACAAAACGACTTGGAAGTGAACACGGCTCTAGGGAAATTGATGGGGTTTCCGGCGTGCCTGTTGTACTCTGTATATTCGATCACTACGAAATGCTGCGGCGACTTGAAGTGTTCATGTCTCTACGAGGGCATATCGTGCGACCAATAGATGGTGTGAGGGAAAGTGACTCAAAATTGACCTGCGGAACTGGACCAGACTGGAACCACACCACAGCTGCCATATGTCAGGGGAAGGTTCCACTGCCAGCTGTCGCTTCGGCATTCTCCAGTGCGTGCAGGGTGTGGCTATGCATGCTGCGGGAAGATGCCTGTGGAGGAGAAGAGGATCTGAGAAGGCTCCTGCGTGATGCTCCCCCGGTTGATTTCCTTCTGGTCGTGCACGATACTGAGGTACCATTGCCGTCACTTTGTCCCGTTGATCCCATAGAAGGGGCTGAAGCAAATATTCTTAAGCTTCTAACGCACCTGAGGGAACCCTTGAGACGGCTGGTGGTATGCTTTAGGGGTGCCCCCTGTGTGGAAGGCGAAACGATAACGGGCTCCAAGGTGAAAGTGTCGGGGTCGGTTTTCAGGGGTAACAAAGTCCTCGTCCCAGCCAGTCGAGAACAACTGCTTTTGATACAGACAGTGTTGTCAGCACCCATAGCACAACAGTCCCCGTACCCCTTCTCGACAGATCCCCAACGCCTCGGCCCAGGACTACTGGAACGTATTGCGCTTGGCAGTTTCACTGACTCCGCGGCCTCCAATCTGTTCGCGGGGTTCGCCGGCACCGCAGCGATACAGGTGCAGTACGGTGGCAACGAATCGGCTTCTGCTTGCCGGTCACCGCACACAGTCTTTAGCTCCATCGCCGAGCTCCGACGTAAGTTTTGCCAGAACCCCATGGCCTTTGGCGAAGCATTCCCGATTTTCGCCGTAGCTCGTGCCATTGTGCAAGATGTTTTCTTCGCCCAGTTGCGCCAGGGATGTGGCACGGGAAGCTGCCTCGGACGCCTGCCGCGCGTGGCGCTTGTGTTTCATCGCGGCAACCCCACAGGAATGCCCCTTCTGACTACCGATACCTTCTTGAACAATGTTAGACAGTACTTTTCGCCCTGGTGTGTCCACGATGTTGGGTCCCCCATCTCTGTTAGGCATTCCATAAGTAGTGCAGAGGTTGTGCCTACGCCTGTGCTATGGAACCGACAGGGTGGTCTGATGATGCTCTTTAGCGACGAACCGAGTGCCTCACTAGCTGCCCTTCACGATGAGGCGGACGTGGTGATTGCCTGTGGGAAAACGGCAGCGGCGTGGATAGCGGCGAATGCGCGAACCTCTCTGAGCTGTTTTGCAATACTGTCTGAGGTGGAGGTCGTACCAGTACAAGACACTACATATACCTGGTTTCCATTTGATCTCGCTTCGGTAAAAAATGACTTCACAGCGCAGTCCTCGATGGTGAAACGAGAGCTCGTGTGGCGCCAATTATTGGAACACACGACCAAGGCAACTCGGCCCTCCATATCGCCGGAATCAAAACATGATTCGCGAAGTGCCTCAAAACGCTGCATTCAGATTCCCAAGGTTCTTCAACAAGCACTTATTTTATATCAACATCTAACATCAGACACGTCCAAACAAGGCGGTGGTCCCGAGGGAGAAGGCGAGGTCCGACAAGAGCCAACAGTATTGCCTGTGTCGTCGGGCCACTGTACATGGCCAAACCTGTCTACCTTTATTAAGACAATGGTGCTGAACTGTCTGACAACGACGCCAGTGCAAATGGGAGAACTGTGTATTAGGGCGATTAATGATGAATAAAAGAAGGGGAACAATACACAAAACGTTATTACATTCGTGTGACGAGTGGTGTCAATAAGATGGCTAAATATACTGTCCCCTATACTTATCTCGTTTCATGTTTCTTCACTGAGTTACTTTCTACTTCATTATTGAGTATCATCCCTCAAACCATCCCTTTATGTAGATAGAGTGGGTATCAGCAAAAGTAACTTTTTTGTGTTCTTGGAAAAATCAAAGACATGCGTGATTCAACTGTCTCAACACTTTTTGATGGCCGCGGGACTTTCTATCAAAAGATGACAGGGAAAAACGGCGATGATTCCTATGAGCCTCTTGGTGAACTCGGTGACTTCAATTTAGCCATTGAAAAAAAAATTGGGCAGAAGGCAAATCAATATATAGTTACAGTATATCAGGATGGAAGCAAAGAGCTGAGTCAGCCCATCAATATTCAAATGGCGCTTATGTATTGCAAAGAATACTCTTCTGTGCACTGGTCCACTAAAATTGACCGAAAAGTTGAAGACTTGGCCTTTCGCTTCATGGATACAAATAACTGCTCTGCTGCCAATGTAATGACACGTTGTGTAGAGGTGTACAATCAATGTATATATGGTATGCTGACTGGGTTGGATGTAATGGATACGTCAGACGAGTGGTACCAATACATGGCACCAACCAGCACGCATACCATCCTCAATGAGGATGAAGAAAGGCCTGTGTATGCCTTCAACATCAATTCAGCTTCCCAAATGAAGACAGGTGAAGGGAACATATGCTTTTCACATGCCATGCAGCTCAATCGCGCCCTCATTTTGCGGAAGTGCGGAAACAACACAAGCAAAGTGGAAATGCTAGCGCTTCCAGTTCAAGACCAAAAGGGTACCTTTTCTAACTCCATTGAAAAAATCGTGGTAGATGGAGTGGATTCATCGATCACGGGGAGCCTGATGGATGTAACAGAGCGCAAACTAATGGTATTTGGTGGGGAACAAAACAAAATTGGGGAAATTGATCTTGAACGAGGGAAAGTCGTGCAGGAGTACAATCCAGCGAATAAGTCGATCCTTTCGATGGCATATAGTGCCAAGACAGCTGGAAACAGTGACGGAATCTACACCTGCCTCGCCCCAAACGTGGCCTTCAATATCGACACACGCATGAATCCCAAATCATGTGTGGTTTTGGAGAGTGGAAAAGACTTGAGTGATTATAGTTTGAAGTCTGCAAAACCGCTTACGTGCCATGCCACGTCTAGAGCTGGTCACCTCGCAACAGGTGATTCCGTTGGCAATGTTCGCCTCTACACTGGGCCACCGGGGTCACGAAAACCAGAGGGCGGCCACTTTCCCAAGACCGCAAAGACCCTCCTCGATACCAAAACCCCTATCCTCGCTCTTGATATTACAGTTGACGGGAGTCATATATTGGCTACCTGTGAAAAGTTCATTCTGCTTATCAATACCAAATACCTGGATAGTGACGGCAAGGAAGCAGATGGGTTCACAAACAGGATGGGAAAGAACAAACCGACACCTCTACGTCTGCTGCCATCGGCGTCGCAAATCGAAGAAATGGGCGGTATGGATGGGGTATGTTTTACGAGTGCCAAATTCGATGTGGACACATCCACTGGGGAGCATTGTGTCACAGCCAGTTGTGGTATGTATTTACTAGTCTGGAGCATGAAAGCGTTGATGAGAGCAGAAGAAAAAAATCGAGCCGCGCCATGCGACATGGTCTCGGTTGGTCACGCGGCGCTCTCTATCAACGCACCGCAGTCATCAACAGTGACCTATTTATCAAAGGATAATATTGGCTCAGTGCCAATAGAAGAGACAAAGAGATCCTTTAGAAAATGGACCTGGGGACAAAACGATTGATTAATCTTGAGCACTAGATATCTGCATTTATCAGATAAGATCATCAATAAAAATTTTATTCGACATTTAGGTAATTTATACATCGTCAGAATAGGAAACAGAAAGAATTATAGTGAAAATGTATTTCAGCACTACGCTATTTAAAAAGTACTATCGTGTTCAACTGTCTATAGGGAAATACATACATCAGTTCATGGAACTCTATTTCGTTACGTATCTTAAATTTCCTTCCCAACTTTGAGGCTAATCCTCTTGAGTAACTACGTTAGTCACTGAAGTAAAATTCAGGCTTTCTTTTGGGTTCTCTTTCCAGTGTAACAGCACCGCAAGGCAGTGGAGAATGTTGGCAATGAAGTAGTGGGCATTCATTATACTCTTTCCGACACGAAGAATAATAAAACTTTGCATTTGGCCACCACCAAACATTCTTTGTCTAACAAAAACTAACTAAAATATCGTGCTGAAACTCAATCTTCGCACTCTGTATAGGCTTGTGATCTAGCGTACACAAGTACCTATTAAACATCTTTTTGACACTCCCACGCGCAGCCAAACTGAAACTCCAGTAAAACATCCTGAAAGGATAGAAGAAGTGATTGAAAGCAAAATGCAAGGCCGCACTGACACGTGTGTTCCGGCAGCTTCATGAAGAAGAGAGGAAGCGATACGTTACCAGGCTGAGCAACTTAGTTTTCCGGCAACCGCACCCAACAAAAGCAGAAACACTGTGCTGTATCTAACTTATACAGGGACGTAGGCCAACCCATGGACTCGAACCCGACTACCTAGTCATTCTCTAAGCTGACGACGCGGACCCACACTTCGATTCATCTTGTGGCACCACGTGACGGCTCCATCCATCTGACAACAAAGTATAGTCGGAAAAGCAAATCGACGCTTCCGTGTGCGACGTCCCAGACCATAACCCGGTGTATCCTGTGACCTGCTTTTTTGAGCGTTTCTTTACGAAGCCTATTCCCTTACTAATAGGATAATAAACAATTATGCTATGTGCTGCGGGAGAATTGCACAACATTGTGCTGATCGGCATGATAGACAGTAGTGTTCAGGTATTGATGAGAAAAATCCCCCAGCCCCTTAGCCTCCTAAACTTTAACGTTTATCCATAGGACTTGCATTTTATCAAAATCAGTCGTTTCTAAGGCATTCTAATAATCTACTCAGTGTTTCTCTAATTTATCTACATGAATTCAAAAAAAAACCTTTTGGAAACGCGCTGCGCAAGGCATTCAAGAGCCAACGAGAAATATTTTGGTAATATCTATATTTTCCAAAACATGAGCCGAAAGCATTGGCTGGATATGTTAATCAATTTCAAATGAAAGTATTAAAGTACAAAAGAAAACACAGAATAGATTGAAAGCAAATATCCTAAAGGAACCAAATACAAAAATTCTGTCAATGATGGAATTCCTTATATCAAGATTAAAAATATAGCATTAACATAAATCTTCATTTATATGAACCACCTTAAATAAATAAAGATCTAAAAGTAAATTTAGCGATATATATAATAAATATCGAAAAAACAATTGATTAAAAATATAAATATACTTTAAAAACTCGCCTCAATAATAAAAAATCGAATAATTGTAAAAGATAGCCACGTCCCGAAAGTAAACAACAACAACCCCGCGCATTTGGAAACGGCACAACACAAGAAAGCCACCCCGCCGCCGCGGGGTGGACCCGTTGACCTCAAAACGGCCCTGCGAAGTCGAATAGACCGCCCCGCCGCCGCGGGGTGGACCCGTTGACCTCAAAACGGCCCTGCGAAGTCGAATAGACTACCCCGCGCCCATCTTTGCAATATCATTTAGCGACCAGCACTTTTTCCTTTCTCTCCTGCTTATACCCCAAGAGTTTCATCCACCTCACGTATTAATTTCGGTGGATGGCAAGTCCAACAGGTTAAATTAAGTCACATAACGCAAAAATGTTTTTGCACACATAAAAAAATTTTTTTTTTTTGAATGTGCCTAGGTATGGGCTTTGTTATTTTTAAATAAGTCCTAATGAAAAAATTATCGAAATATAATAATTTTTATCATTCAAAGAATTTATTTTGGTTATTTTGTATTAATTACACGTTGTTTAATACATTTTTATAGTGTAAAACCATTTTTACGTTCTGCGAATTAATTTTTATGTGTATAAATTAATTTTTACGTGTATAAATTAATTTTTTACGTGTATAAATTAATTTTTACGTGTAT